AAATTTTTCACCAGAATGTACAGAACGAGTATGCTGCAAAATTTATTATTTAAGATGCAGGCAAACTCACCAGTAATATTAAGGGTGATAGTCGTCTCTTCAGTTGACGTCTTATTCTTTGCTATCACCTTGTACACACCTTGATTTTCTTGCTTTACAGTAGCCACTGAGAATGTGTATCGTGTTGTCCCTTCGCTGGTGAACTGCAGTGCCTTTTCATCTTTTGTCAGCTGAACTGTCGGTGTTTCCTTTCCACTTACATCCACAGTGATCTCGAATGCTTCGCCAATTTTCAAGCCGACTACATCCGATATTGGTCTCACTTTTGCTAGTTTCACTGGCTCCAGTACTGTAAGTACACATGGAGTCGACTGTACTTCATCAATTTCGTTCTTCACTACGACTTGATAGGTTCCTTCGCTCTGTGCCACTGTTGCCTGTTTGATCAACTGCCGGTATTCATTCTTCGCTTCGTCTACTAATGTATTCTCTGGTGCAATGGATTTATCATTAAAGAACCATTGAGCAGACGGTTGTGGTGATCCTCGAACAACCACTTTCAATGTGACATCTTCTCCACTCATAATTTCTTGTTCTTTGGGCAACTGTGTGGTGATTATTGGTGCAGCAAGAACAGCAAGTTGAACAGTTTCTTCTTGACAGCCATATGGATTCTCGAGACGACATGTAATCGAACCTGCATGTTGTTGTAGATCGATGTTCGGAATGGACAACTTGGCTTCATCAGTGGTAGCATCGAACTGCACTTGAACACCTTCTTTCGCTGTCAATGGTTTTCCATTAAGAAGCCATGTTATAGTCGGTGTTGGGTATCCATCAATCTTTGTCACGAATACTGCTGTTTCACCTTGCTTTACTTTTTGTGCTGTCGGTTTAACAACGAACACTGGTGATTCTACAAGGACATATGTTATTCAAAAACAAGAAAAATCAAGGTGACGTACTCGAAACAGTGACTTTACACTTATTGGATTCAAGTGATCCACCAACGTTGAAAATCTTGGCTGAATATTCACCTTGATCTCCTGGTTGTACATTCAAGATAGCCATTGTGTATTTGTCATCGTTACCATCCGATGTTGTCACTTGAATGCGATCATTTGGTGTAAGTTCATTGTCGTCTTTCATCCAGACAATGTCAGGCTTTGGTGTTCCACTGGAGACGATTTTTAGTGCCATGGTTTCACCTTTTGTGACTTTCAGTGCACTATTGAGATCAGCGTTGATGACAGGTTTGATACAATCAATCTTTAATGTTGTCTGACCTTCAGCTACACCAAAAGCATTGGTTGCTCTAGTAGTATAGACACCTTGATCACCAAGTTCAACTTGACGAATTGTTAGTATCGATGTTCCATCATCAGTCTCCGTTACTTGCAAGCGATTGTCAGTTGAAAGTGGTTGATCATTGAAGAACCATGTTACACGTAGCTTCCCGATGCCACTGAACTTCCATGAAATCTGAGTATTTTCACCAAACATACATGATTGCTCGCTTACCGATGTTGGAGCTTCTACTTTCGGTTGAACTAAAATATAAGTAATCGTTCGTATAGTACGTGGAAGATGATGAGAATACTTGGGATGTGGGCAAATAGAAGATCCACACCCACACAGGAGTCGAACAGTGTATGACAGAATAAGATGGTGTACCATCGAGCAGAACATGAGCGAAAGGGTGAATGAAATCACTGTTCTGGTGGTGTTTAGTTGTGGATTCAGAGAAGATCAACATTTACACCCCATACATGTGTTTATTCTATTTGTTCAGCTTAAATCAGTTAAATTGAAGATTGTAGTTTAAAGAGCATTTTGTTCCCTAAGTACGAATTTAGCAATCAATTTTTGTTCCATCACTTTCCGCAGAGTGTGAACAACTATACCTTGCCAAATTTAGTACATTTCTCGCTCTCTTCATAAAGATAAGATGCACCCTTTCCACTTCGTGAACGTATATACGTAACTGCTAGGTTACAGACATTTCTCTCAAATTTGGGATATCATTGGATTAGAACATAACAATAAGAGAATAGGAAGAAATGCTCCCAAAGCATCCATTAACTTTTCGTCACATATTGATCCTTATCTAAAATTTGACTTCTTAAAATAATACATCAAGAAGTAAACAATAGAGTTCACTTCTTTTTTGCATGTTCATGGGATTATCGTTCTATAGAAGAACGTGTGAAGAGGAAATCTATCAATAACAAACAAAATTTCAGTTTTCCCCCCTTAATATGTACTGATTGATCAATGGTTATTGATTTCTCACATAGCCATATCTTGATATCAAAAAGCAATTATTTTAATAGAAAATAAAACTAAATCTAATTGAAAGAAAGTGAGCCTATATTGTTCACAATTTACTTATTAGGAAAAACAAGTTATCCTATCGTGAGTAGGGTGTCATAAAGATTTAACTGATTTGAACTTTTCACCAGAGAAAATATTTCTTGCGGAAATGCTGACCACTAATAAAGTTTGATCAGCAAGTATTCAGATTGAAAAATCTGAATCTCTGTGGATAATTGGGCAAGTGATACATCAGACTGCAAAGAGAATCTTTCATCTACAAAACCTTTGATGAACTGATTGAAGAAGTTGCCACTTTTTGGAAAATAATGGCTTACTTTTGTATTAAAATTCAATACAAAAAATTTCCAATTACTCATGAAAATTATTTTTTTGACAGTAATTGTCTTTTATAGTGTAATTCAAAGATGAAAAATCTCAAGATCATTGTCATGGGGGGGGGGGGGGGAGGTCTTATTGCGTTAATATTATTGCCTAGTAAATATTATTTTATTCATTGAAACTATCATATTTGTGATCAATATACGTCAAATGATATATGTGTATGTGTTGAGACGTGAGGATAAAAATCAAGTTTTCTTTGAGTCTCTAGGGTACACCAGGTCCAAAACTCATGATGTCCCATATCGTCAATTGCAACTGTGCAATAGAGAAATAACTCACATATGACAACTGAATTGTCAACTTTCTTTCAAGAAGTTTTCTCAACAGTAACGACATTTATATTTTAGAGGGATAAACAAACAAGACACTCAATCAAATCAAGTTTACCTGGTTTTCCAGATGTATCTTTAGATACAGGAATATTCTCTAGTAATATTCTAAAATATTTCGGTATTATTCTCTTTTGAACTGCTTGTAACCCTTGTGACCAGCCATATTTCGCAACATTATCTAATGCTAATTCATACAAATTTCCTTTATCGGTGATTTTATTTTTTTTCAATAATTCAAATAATTTTGGACGATAATATTCACATAACGCTTGAAGTAAGACCGGCCACTTTTTATCATCAGAAAACTTTTCTATAGATTTTAAACCATTATTAGTTATTGTACACCATAGATCATTGAATACATTTGTTTCATCGAAAAATTTATCATCCATACCTTCAAATAGAAGCTGCAAAACAATTGATAAGATTGGGCAATCTTTCAAGTATTTGTTCCCATATTCAGCTGTGCGATTCAGAACAGAATTATAATTGACGGTATCTTCATATTCTTTTAAAAATAGAATAAACCATTGATTTGAAAAGCCATATTTTACTTTCCAGTGTTGCTCGAAGCATTTTTTCAGAGATTTCATAAATTCGTCATCGTTTTCATTTATTACTGCTGCATAGATATCTGGCAGAAGGTCTTCTTCATACTTAGACAAGAATTGCCGACCATTTTTTAACAAATCATTTATAATTTTATCTTTTATTTCATTTTCTTGCAAGTCAAGAGCACGTATTATTTCATTCTTGGCTAATTTTAACGCATCGTCATTAACGGAGTCATCGAGTTCTTCTGTTGAAGAAAAATGAATTATTGATAAATAAGAGAAGGAGTGGGTATGGAGTCTGCCTGTGCCTGTAGCTGTGAGCAAGGGCTAGACACATACTCACACCATACCTCAAAAACTGAAAGACTCAAAATATTCAATGATCGAAAGAAATGCATACCAGTGTCTAATAGGATCAATCGATGGGAAAATTGTTCGCACTTATGAAGTAATGCTTCTTTCTGTCTCAAGTCGTACATATCATGGAAAAATAGAATGAAAGCATATAAACATATCTATTATTCACGATGCTCCTCCGTATATTTCTATTCAACTGGTCATTTGTTTCTGACGGTAAAAAAGTGACGGAATTATTATCTGCTCTCAAGTTATTTTCAACTTCTACTTGTGAAGGTAGAAACTATTGAATGATTTCTCCTTTGTTCATATGTAATTTCTTCTCGCTCAAACGCACACAAATAATGCCTGTTTTTTTCAAAAGAAAGCATTCTTTTCGACTTTTTGAGTTGTGAACCATTTCCACTGTGAACAGGAATATTTCCTGTCTTTGGAGGGTACTGTTCATCCCTAAGAGAGTACGGACGAATTCAAGATAGACGTTCTCTATCAGCGAATAATCGAGAAAAAAAGTAAGAGGATCAAATAGAAATCAGGAGATGGTTGATTTTGGGAAACTCCTTCTCTTGCACAAACCATGACGTCACTATAGTCACTAGCTGAGGATGTGAGGTGGATGTGGGTGACTGCCTGTTGTTTGATATATTCGTTGCTCGCATCTACCCCGTAGCAACATAGGCACGAATAAGGATACCCAAAACCACCCTCACACCGTCATTGGCTGATTAACCATTCTCTGGATACTAGTTAGTCAACCTCTAGCTTGGAGGTTGGGGTGGGTGTGGGCATAGGCGTGGGTATGAGGTGTGAGCCTACTTTACACACAAACACCCATACCCAACATCACATCCACCCCACACCCAACAGACACCCTGATTAATTGTGAGAAGTCGATTAGAGATTCGGATTCCTTGACTCCGATTACTTTTGATTAAGCTTTACAAAAAAGTGACTGTTTCCTTGAAATACTCCTCCCTTATCGATTAAGTGTCCTGGCTAATTCTTAGTCACCTATTTCGTGGTACGAAAACGATAGCTTTCCTCCTTCAGACAAAATTAGAAGATTACAAAGTTACATCAGCATCTCAATTCGATCGAAATGTTGCGAGCTATCTGCTGTATGAATTTTCAGTGGTTGACGCTCTATCGAAGAAAGTAAGGCATAATATCGAGCAGTCAGATGTTTTTAGTATTTGATAGATACCTTCACATACTTTATAGTTCGTTAACGTACTTCAAAATACTTTTAAGTACTTTGAAGCATAAAGGCATCATGTTTCTCCTTGATATTTCGACATGTTCATCTTCAGTTTGCCAGATTTTATGAAAAGGCAGAATTACGAAACTTACCGTGATTCTGCATACATTCTTTGATCATTTCGATCAGACCAGGACTATTGGGTCGCTCATCTGGATTATGAGCCCAACTTTTCTGAATCACTGCAGAAAACGTCAATGGTGTCGTATTGGGTACCTCCAAACGATCGCCAGCAAGTACAAATACACGAGTGATACCATCTTCGTAACGATTATAGGGTATTTCATACGCGGCTAGCTCCCAATAAACTATTCCCAAGCTATAAACGTCGCTCTTATCTGTGTGCTTTTGTAAACGCAATATTTCAGGAGCAGCCCACTTTAATGTAGAACTCGCTATATTATTAATTTTTGTGTGACGTTTTGTTTCACTTCGTGTGTCAGCCAAACCAAAATCACAAACCTTGACAAGGTATCCTTCATGGTTTCTTCCTAACAAAAAATTTAACGACTTGATGTCACAATGTAAGATTTGCGGTTTGTACAGATGCAAATAATTGATGCCTTTAGCTGATTGCATAGCAATGGATAATCGTTCAGGCCATGCCATTTCTACCTTCTGTTCGTGTAACACCTTATACAATGACCCTAATGGCATGTATTCCATAACCAATGCATATTTTTCCTCCTCCAAGCAAGCACCATAGAAATTGACGATGTGAGGATAACGAAGACGATTCAAAAACGTAAGCTCATTCAGAAATGTCTGCTTGGCTTCAATGCTTAAATCGGTAGGATATAGCTTTTTGACAACCACTTCGTCTCCTGTTCTCAACCACGTAGCTTGATAAACTATGCCGAACCCTCCACTACCAATTTTTTTACCAAGTTCAAGGTCCTTGTGCTCTATTCGTACAAATTCATCTAGCTCGACTAAAATGAGAAGGCAAATAATAGATTCAAGTAGCGCTAACAGTTGAATGAATGATCAGTAATTTTGTCTAATGAAGGACGTGGGTGTGGGCTTTCGCTCAGCTTCATATTCACAACTTTCTTTAAATGAGGAGCGAAAGCGTTTATTATCAATCGTTTTTTACTCAAAAAAGGTTCGGAATTAAAGACACATATATATGCCCCATAAAACTATAGTAGCAGTCGATCTTTTAAAGGAACACTTTCATAAAAGTAAACCTATATTCTGATAGCGCTCGGGATTCTCTATCAATCCATACAATTATGTCTTCTCTTTCATTTATCTACTGAAGAATAATTCAAGTATTGCATAGGTAACTTCCGTAACAAACGACAGCATATTTATTTTTCATCATTTCCATTGTTTTTATTTCATATTTATTGTCGTTACAGAACATTTTTTGCACAGCCATTTAGAAATCCTGATAGTGCTTTATATTCTTGATAGCCTTGACTTTTTGGAACTAAGAATGAAATAAACAGTTTAGGAATTTCAATTTTATTGATTTTAACAAGTGTATCTCCGTACTACTCGCATTATTTGTCAGCAAACACATGCAAGGCAAGACATCACTACTTAGATCATAGCAAAAGTTTTTACGGAGCTATATGAATTTCTTAGAGAATGATTGAAGAACTTTTCTTTTCATATAGACTGATAGTAAAAACAAAGCTCCACATTTGTACACTATTTGATCGTTATTCATCTAATATCATACTAATCAAATTTCCGTTAGACTTGATTAGCTATGATATGTAACAGTAGCATTAGTTCCCTCGACTGAAGGGAGGGTCATACAGAATAAAATGCGTTTGTTTGTGTGTTTGCTTGAGGTCAAAAAAACATGTAAGATAGATCACCCTATTTTAAGACTTTTGGTCGCTTTGATCGAAATTTTCTATAGGTTATCGATGGCCCTGAATCCGAATCCGGAGTTCATTTCTTTGGCCAGGGTTTCATTGGTCGGGAAGTGATCAATCAGAAATGAACTTTCTTATTTTGAGACTTTTGGCCGTTTTGATCAAACTATGCTATAGATTATCGATGGTCCTGGATCCGAATCCGGAGCCCATTTCGTTGGCCTAGGTTTCATTGGTCGGGAAGTGACCAATCAGAAATGAACTTTCTTATTTTGAGACTTTTGGCCGTTTTGACCAAACTATGCGATAGTTTATCGAGACCCGCGAGTCCGAATCCGAAGCCCATTTCTTTGACTGATTTTTCATTGGTCGGAAACCGACCAATCAGAAACGAAGTTTGCTTTTCAAGTCTTTTGACCGTTTTGATCGAACTTTGATACAGGAACGGAATATTTGTTTTGAATGTGGTATGTTTTTATAAAAGATACTGCAATAGAGGGGTTGACTGAAGACCGAATGTGCACTAAAATGTGTTGAGCATCTTAAACACGGAGTTTGTCTGAATGTACCACAAATAAGAAACGTATTGCTTGGAAGAATGAAAGGAACCGCATTCTCTAACTGACGCATGTTGAGTACAATAGTAAGACAACAAAGGAATGAGTACTGTCCTGCTTTTTGTAGAAAAGATCTCTGGAAACTGATTTGAAAACAATTTCTCAATCCATAATGCAAATATATACAAGAAATTCTGTATGTAGAGTTGATGATATCTTATGTAAATACAGAGATATTTGCTACTAAAACAATCAGAGCATTGGTATGTTATGTCTCTGGAGTGAATCTTCTATATAGACCGTCCCACATACTTTTGTTATTGAGTTAATTGGTCCGTCTGTATATTTCACAATTCCGTCTTAAGCAGAGGAAACAGCACATTGAATAGATATGATTGTGAAAATGGATTGGTTTTATACTAGACTGGGTTTGTTTTATCAACTACGCAATATCCGCGTCTTTCACGATCGTTTCGCTCTATTGCTCCTCTCGTTCTCTATTAAAGGATGGAGAACATTGAAATATATCACAGTTGATATCAGAATACAGTTTTGGCGTTACGTCAATGAGTTAAAAAAGAAAATTTAAAAATCGTAGTCTGTAAAGTGTTGTCGATACGAAGAGTATACCACGAACTCATGGTACACTGTTGTGCGCAGCAAATATTTTTAAAATATTGTTCGTAGCATGAATGATTTACTTGAGGTTTTTCTCTATATCTGTTTTTGTGCTGTCTGAAACGTAACAGTATTGCATATATATTAACTTATGAAAGACGAAGGAAAAATTGTTCATAGATATGATCCAAAATAGAGACTAAAATTTTGAGGCAT